CCATAAATGTTCTGCTTTCTTTTATTTTGGGGTTATTTCCCTGTATTATATATTTTTGTGCTTTATAGTAGAAAACAATCCTCTAGTTATTGCTTGTATTTGTGCTTCAAATGCTCTTTCCTTGCAATGCATTAATGTAAAGGAGCTTGTGGAATGTTGCTAATTCTTATAAATACTCCTATTTCCATTTTCTTTAGTGAGATGGATATAGTCATTTTATAACTATACCTTATGTTCTGATTATTTTTAAGGTTGCTATAATGAAACGTGTTCGACATCCAAATGTGGTCCTTTTCATGGGTGCTGTTATGAAACGGCCTCATCTGTCAATTGTGACGGAGTATCTGCCGAGGTAATCAGCTATCCTGGTATTAAGGTAATGAATCAATATCTATTTGTAAATATAACACATGGCTAATACCTGGTTTCTGTCAAACAGGGGTAGTTTATATCGCTTCATTCATAGGCCTACTGCTGGAGAAACACTTGATCAGAGGCGGAGATTACGTATGGCACTGGATGTGGTTCGTACTATTTTCTTCTTGCACAATTATCTATTGATACCAGCAGCAGCTGCTAGGCAACTTTCACAGTTTATGTTGGAAACAGGCCAAGGGGATCAACTATCTTCATTGCCATAATCCTCCCATAGTTCACTGGGACCTTAAATCACCAAATCTGTTGGTTGATAAGAATTGGACGGTAAAGGTATTATAAGAATTCCACATTTTCCAATCTCTGTTTTGTTTTTCCTTTTTCAAATTAACAATATCCAATTTCTTATACCATTCCCAGGTGTGTGATTTTGGAATGTCAAGATTCAAAGGGGGCACTTTCGTATCCTCAAAATCTGTGGCGGGAACAGTAAGTAGACTATAACCTCATTTTTTTATTGCATATATAGCTTGGGGACATACGCTATTAGGAGGTCATCGAGCTCACTTTTAAAGCCAATTATGTTAAATAACTTGATTGTAGCCAAAGGCCATTTGAGGTATGGAACCTTGGGTATTGATTATTTGCTATAGAGGTTGATACATGATTCCAAATTATGGCATTAAATCCATATTAAAGACAACAATCACAATTTTTATCACAAAACCTTGTCCAGTATTCTACAATGATGAATAGATACAGTCGTTGCAGGTGTGCATCCTTTATTTTATATGTAGGATGTTTCTTTCAATCACATGTAGGGATGAAAAATCCTCCTTCATCAACCAGCATCTAAATCTTTTGTTTTCATTTGCAGCCCGAGTGGTTGGCTCCAGAATTCCTTCGCGGAGAGCCTTCAAATGAGAAATCTGATGTTTACAGTTATGGAGTAATCCTATGGGAACTTATAACCATGCAACAACCGTGGAGTGGACTTAGTTCTGCCCAGGTTTGATATGTTTGGTTCCCTTATTATCCATTATGGTTCTTCTTTCCTTCTTACCACATACAATCGACCAATTGTTGAAGTAATTGTGAGAAATGGTGGTGCATTTCCATGCTGTATTTCTTGCTTAATTCCATCACCCCATTTCTTATGTGGTGTTGTAAATTTTAGGTGGTTGGTGCTGTAGCGTTCCAGAACAGGAGGCTTGCCATTCCTCCTAATACCTCCCCAAAGTTGGCTTCCCTCATGGAAACTTGTTGGGCTGAGTGAGTTTATGCCTAGTCCTATATTTATTCAGTACACTTAATTTTATATGATAATGAATAAACTGACTGCGCTTGTCCTAAAACTAAAAGAAGTCATCGGAGCAAGAGGCGATATCTTGGGTGGTTTCACTGTCCGAAGTATCCATGTCCTAGTACAGGATATAATTATCCGAAAATACATAAAAATCTTGAATAGCGATATGATTTTTCGAAGATCCTTCAAATGCATAAAAACCATACTCTTATCCTACACTGACAGTGTTTTGATTAAACATAGGCGTCGAGTATTTTCTTAGATTGCTGAAGTTATATTTGAGAATACAAGAAATTCCTTATTGTAGTACTTTTATTGATTTGCATGTTTATCCATTCCTGATGATGTTTGCTTTTTGGCAGTGATCCCACCCAACGGCCATCTTTTGATAGTATAGTACAAGCACTAAAGAAGTTGCTGAAATCTCCGATGCCTGTGACGCAGAAAGGAAAACAGTAACAATCGCCTAAAGTGAAACCATCGAAACTGTGAAATAGTATAAATAACTCGGAGGGAGATATAATTGAACGACTACAGCTTCCATCGTTGTTTAATGGTTCTATTCCATCAACAGAACCTTTTTTTTTGGTTCCAGGCAACTGTAGGTGTTTATCTCAACCCATTTGGCAGGCAGTTAATCCCATAAAAGAATTGAGGCCTATAATCATATGTACATATTGCAAAGCTTGTTAATATGGGTTGTCCGTGGGGTTGCCTTCCGACGTGCTATTTGCAAGTGTACCTAAATCCGAAGCGAATAAGAATTCGGAATTTAGATGTGATATGTATTTGCTATGTCAATGGTGTTTGCTTTCTTATTCTAATGACACTTGAAGTTTATTCAGCATACAAATAAGTTTATTTTGACATCTTGTTTGTAAACATTTTCTATTGTAGACGGGAAGAAATTTGAGGAGCTTTGTGCAGATGTACAGCATTGATTTAAAATATCTAATACTTGTTGTACCTCTGTCAAACGTAATCCGTGTGTCATCCTGTCATCTGCACTCGCACCTCAAAACCTTCATAGAATAGAAGAGCACTTCTCGAGAAAGAACTTTGAGAATTCTGGAACTCATAGGGAGAACATCTCTGAAAGAAGGACCTCAAATATCTAATATCTCTTAAGAAATCATGTTAATTTGACTTGACTTTTGACAGACGCATGTGATCTATTAGAGTTAAATCTATCGTCAGTTAATCATATCTACTTAGCATGCGAGCTTATATGTAGTCATAATGATCCTACGTCTAATACTAGCTTCAAGAGTCACACTATAAAACCTCTTAATCAAAATTGAGAGGAAGGATGAAACCACTTCACCCTCACTTAATCTCTCTTTTATCTTCTTATGGAGGAGACATTCTACTTTAACACCAGCCAATGATGGATCTATCACTAACTACTACTATCAACCCAAACCAATTGACTCACCCTAACAAAATTCATGACATTGTTCCTAAGTTGACATAACAACGTATAGTCTACACAACAAAGAAGTTGACTCCGTGCTCGGCAAGCTTCATATCAACAAACCCAACATATTTTAATGAAACCCAAGTACTTGATCATTTTTAAATATATGAAAACCAAAACTAAGCATTTTTGAACCCGCCACCCCCCCCCCTCCAAAAAAAATATGATTGACTATAGAACTTTTTCATTGACGTATTTGTTTATAATGTATGAGCTCTGACTCAGCAACCAACTCGTTTTCTTATCTTGTATATAAGAGAACGAGATCATTGAGAATCCCATAACTGTTTCCTATTCATTTCAATTGAGTCAGAAAATCCCGGAAAAAAAAAAGAAAAAAGAAATCCAAATTATAATGGCAGAAAAGTAGAATAACATGAATAAATCCATCATTTTCATTGCCCTGTTTGGGCTGGTTCTTGGTATCTTAGCTCGTTCATGTGTTGAGGGAAGCAATTTAGGACAACAATTTGGTGAGTTTAATGTTTTAATTATATTCATAATTAAACTAACTCAACCTGATTCTTTCAAGTCGCTCCTTTTTTGTCCATGTTTGATATGACTAACATTTTGTAATTGGGAATTGCAGATAATGTATGTAAAAGTATTCAAGAAGGGTTTGTCACTTTAACAGTCAAATATCTGCATTTCTTCATTTCAAGCTGCCTGCAGTTCAGATACTTACCGGCATTATTTCCGGCACCTTCGGCCGTGCCTCTGTCATTTTGGGTAGCCTTTACTCGATCGATCTCATCGATGCCGGATAACCCTCTGAGGAACTTTCGATCGACATTATTTCCGACGACATGATGCACCCTCCATAGTCTTTGGGTAGCAATTGAAACAAAATCATTGTGACAGCATAACACCGTTCCATCCAAGTTTCTGAGAAAGCAGAGCTAGCCAAACTGTCCCTTATGAAAGGGTATGAAAATCAACCATGGAAAGTGGATTTGCGGAGTTGATTTAAGTTTTAATCAGATTATATTGTCTTTCTGTAGTACCCATGGTACATGAATATTTTATTTATGTAATAATAAATGTGCGGATGTTATTCCAAAGGTTACTGAATCTCGGTTTAAATATATATTTGATATCTGAATTAGTACATGACAATTTTTTAATTTTAAGTTGATACCAAAACTTTAATTACATCCATTCTTGTGATACTTTTGATAGTTTTTTCAACTTTTAAAACTTTCTTAAAAAACATGATATCATCATAAAAATGTTATATAACTTGGGAGGAGATATCTAGTTCGGATACCAAATGAATATTTAAACCTTAAATCTACTTTGAAGGCTCAATACTCTCTCTCTTGATAAGTATTTGTTTGAAGACTACAATCATTTAACAATTATCGTTCATCCCCAAATAATTGATTGTGAAAAACTCAAAGTTCTTATTCTCAAGAACAATATTTTTTTATAGTAAAATATCTTTTAATTTCTCTTATATGACCCATCTTTCAGTCCACAATTTGTCATTCAATAAATTTATCAATAACTTAAGTTTCTTGAAGCATTTTTTTTAAATCAGTCTGGGCCTGATGTTGATTTTTGCAGGAGAAAGTTTTTTAATGGTAGCTTGGTGGGATACTTCAAAGGAGCTCAAGGCATTAGGCAATGAGATCCCTTGTCCCCTTACCATTTTGTATTTAGCATGAATTTTTTTCCAAACTGCTTGACTTGGCTGCAAACAAAGGGGTTTTCCAGTTCCACCCAAAATGTAAGAAGGTTTGCCTCACCCACTTGTGTTTTGCGGATGACTTGCTGATTTTCTGTAATGGTACCTTGGATTCGGTTATTGGAATAAAATGTGTCCTAGATGAGTTTTATTTGATGTTGGGGCTTCAACTTAATGCTGCTAAGAGTGAATTATTCTCCTCGGGGGCTCTTGTGAATTTGTTAGACATTATTCTTAATGCTTCAGGTTTCAAGTTAAGATGTCTACCAGTCAGGTATCTCGGGGTCCCTCTTGTGACTCGTAAGCTCACTAAGAAGGATTGTTTGTCCTTGCTGGAGAAGATCAGGCTTAAGCTTGGGCAATGGTCGAGCAGGATGCTAAGCTATGCTGGAAGACTACAGCTTATCATGTCTGTGTTGATGGACATTACTAATTTTTTGTGCAGGTAGTTGATTTTGCCCATGGTTGTGATTGACAAAGTTAACCAGTTATGCATGCGTTTTTTATTGAAGGGTAAAGATGTTAGTGTTGTGGGTGCAAAGGTTAATTGGCACACTGTGTGATCCCTGCGAGCTAAAGGGGGTTTAGAGTTAAAAGATATTCGTTGCTGGAACAAGACTTGTGTGATGCAGCTTATGAGGGCTCTGCTTGCTAGGGAGGGGTCCCTCTGGGTTGCTTGGGTTCATTCCTATTTCTTAAGGGAACTGATTTTTGGGTAGCTAGGTGTAAAGCTGATGTGAGCTGGAGTTTGAAGAAAATGTTCAAACTTAGAAGTGATGTTGCTGGTGTCATTACTTCAGTCTCGAGTGGTCAAAGGGTTAATGCAACCTGGATATGGGGAGAGATGTTTGAAAAGTGGCCTCGTGTCCCTTGGCAAAGGATTATTTGGTTCCCTATGCACACTCCAAAGCATGCTATCATTGCATGGCTGGCTGTTTTGGATCGTCTGCATACTAAGGATAGGCTTTTAAAAATGAACATTATGGTTGACCCTGTCTGTGTGATTTGTGGGAATGCTTTGGAATCTAGGAATCATTCTTTGATTGTTCATTTTCCTGTGATATTTGGGGAGGATCTTGTGTTTGTGTAATGTTGCCAGAGTTGTTTGCGACTGGGATTAAGAGCTAGCTTGGGCCTACGCTTTAAAAGGCAAAACTCTATGCACTTTCGTTCTTAAAACTGCTTGGAGTTCTCATTTATATTGCGTTTGGGAGGAGAGGAATCATAGGCAATTTAGGGAGAGAACCTGTACTATTGATGAGGTTTTTAAGGTTATCAGGGATATTGTTAGGATTAAAGTTAGGGGTAGATGCATTGATATTTCCAAACCTGTAAACGGAAGGCTCTGTAATGCTTGGGGTATAGTTTAGTTTGGTTGGCTGCTTTGATTTTGTGTTTTTAGCGGGTTCTGAGTGCTGGGGTTATTCCTTGTTTTTGTATGGGTAACCTTCAAATTTGTATATTGTAGCAGGCTTTTTTTTTCCCTGTTTCTTGGATAAACAAAAGCATTTTATCCAAAAATTAATAATTTATTTTGTGAGAAAATCCAACCATTGATATATCCATTTTAGAACCTTCAATTCTTCAACCACTTGAGAAATAATTTCCTTGAAGATTATGTTTCATTGATGAGAAAAGCTGATGAACAAAAAAATTTTGAACTCAAATGATATATGTCTGCTGGGAAAAACAATAATCAAAGTTTAGTTGATAAACTGAAATTTTTGAGATAACTCAAATGAGATTTATAATAATCAAAATTTTTAAGTCAACAAGCGAATCATGACTCGAAATATGAATGATCCAACTAGAATGTGTGAGTGGTTTAATGGGCCAAGAGCTGATATTAACTAAATGGACTATTAGGCCGAAAACAAGTATTAAGAAGAGTTTTAGAATTGGAACTTTGGGGATGGTAACTCTATTGATTTTTGGTTTGATAATTGGATTTTCGATGTTGGTCCTTTGTATTTGCATGTCACATCTCATCTCATTCCGACCCTCGGGCACCCCAATGTTGCGGATATAGTCACGGTTATAGGGGAATGGTTTTGGCATCTTTGTCAAGGTTTGTTGCCTCCTCCAATTCTGTTACGACTTGTTGCTGTTAAGTGCCCTTGTCCTTTTGGCCATCGTGATTCTATTGGTTGGGGGGCCAATGACTCTGGTGGGTTCTCTATTAAATCAACGTACTCCATACGTGGTAATATTTTGTCAGTGGAGAAGGAGAAAGTTCGGAAAGTTATCCATCGGTTTAAGGGCTTCAACGTATCAAGATCTTCATGTGGTTAATTTGTTGTGGTCAGATCATGACTAATGAGGAACGTGCTCACCGTCAGTTTACTGTTGATAGTAGTCGTTCGATTTGCCACTCGACTACGGGAGATATCCATCATGTGCTTCGTATGTGCCCTGTGGCAATTGCAACCTGGTGTGGTCTTATTAAGCATTCTAAACTTCACAAAGTTCATTGGAGCTTCACAAAGTTATTCGATCACTTTTCTAATGGTTATCATTCCATCTTCACACACAAAAAAAAAAAAGGTTTCAAAATGTCAACTCATTAGGGAAGGTGTTGAATAGTTAACCAATTTTTTTTTTTTTTTGGAAAATAAGGTTGCACCAAGAGTATTCTTTTTATCAACATTGTCTATATTTGGGTACAAGACAATGTTAGAGTATATTCAGAAATCAATTATAAGATGATTGTAATTACATATTTGTTTCACCTCGTTTATTAAATAAATACGTTAACATTATAAATTTTAGCTTCTTCTACTCTAAATCATAATAAAGTCCAAAAATAATATAATTATTCTTAAAACTCTTTGTACAATTATTACATATTTAGTCATCCAACTATTATTTTTTCAAAATCATACATAAAGTTACGTTTTCGTCACATCCATTAAAAATTAACGGAGATGTTGACGCCTCACCATATTAGTTCCGTTTTGGTCACCCAACTATTATTTTTTCAAAATCATACATAAAGTTATCATTTTAGTTCCGTTTTTGTCACCCAACTAATATTTTTTCAAAATCATACATAAAATTACGTTTTTGTCACATGCAGTTAAAAAAATTAACGGAGGTGTTGACGTCTCACCATATGGTAATGTCGCAACGTCATTGAAAAAATAATTTTTTTTCTTGTGAGCAATTCTATTTATTTTTTAAAAACGGGTAATCCTACTACATAGATTGTGGTAATCGAACATCATTATTTATAATATAACCAGTTACGGTATATATTTAACTATATCAAAATATACGACTCATGATATTGAGATAATGATGATCTTAAGTCGAGATCATATATATTTATTGCTATGAATAATGTTGTGACTATCACATAATAAACTTAAAAATATACTCATAGCAGATCATTCAATATATTGTTCTTTAACACATGTTTATATATTGATTTTGATATCTCTATGTCAATGATAACATTTTGCTATCAATCAACCATACATTAATCTCTATGTCAATGACCACTTAACTATTTACCATTTGACTTTTACTATTGATCTTTCAATTTTGTCAATCATACCACCTAACTATTTATTTGTATCCAATCAAATCATTTCACGTTAATATTTTATAGAAGTGGAATTATACATTTTGTCCTCAATATTTATATACTCTATCAAATTAACCCTAATTTTAAATTAATTCAATAAATTTAATCTCTTAATCAGATAATAACACTTGTCACTACTTAATTAAGTTTTATTTTAATTTATTTAATTTAATATATTTCAACTCCAATAAGTGAGTGACACGTGTTGCCTTTAATTTATTTAATTTAGACATTTCAACTCCAATAAGAGAGTGACATATGTCCCCTTTATTTGGTGTCAAAACGAGTTGAATAATATTAAAGCAGCTGTTGGGAATCGAACTTGCGCCCAGAGGAAAAAATAAAAATATTTATGTTAAAAGGAAAGAATAAAATATATTTTTTGAATATTTTTAAATTAAGATAAAAAAATTAAGATTAGAATTATATATTGGTAAATAAAGAAACTAGCCTAAAAAGCTAACAAACTTCAGTCACTCTCATTCTGGAGCAAACCGCATAATGTTGATGGTGGTCTGGGGAGGTGGTGCACCTCTATGTCCTCCGACTTCGCGATTTTGGCTAGGCATCAGCCACTCTATTCCGGTCTCTTTGAACGTGATGGAATTGTATCGTCCATTCTTATCTGCAAGCTCTCGTTTGTGTGAGATTATCGAGTATTGTCCTTGGTGTTTCTCGTTGCCTTCTAGGTGGCGGATCGCTTCTAGGTTGTCCATCTCTACTTCAATCTTCTTGAGTCCTAATTTCCATGCACACAACAAGCCTGTATAGGCTCCCCACAGTTCAGTCTCAATCACCGAGAATATACCGATGAATTTGTAGAATTCCATAATCCATCGTCCATCGTGGTTCCTATGCTTCCTCCGCATGACGTGTTCCTGTTAAAACAGTAAGATTACTGAAATGTCTCTTATTATTAATTTACTTCATATGCACCACTTATATAGTTTTTACAATAGAATTAGTTACAATATAACTGCCTAACTAATTCTTAACTAACCCCTAACTGTACAAACTATTTCTTTACTCTTAACACTCCCCCTCAAGTTGGGAGTTAAAGTTGGGAAGTGAAATACATCCTTAACTCCCAACTTGGATAGAAGATACTTATGTTGTGCAACGCGCACAACGCTAAGAGCTTTTGTTAAAATACCAGCTTGTTGCTCTACAGTTGGTACAAATTCGGTTTGAACCAAGCCCTACTAAATTTTCTCTCTTATGAAATGACAGTCTATCTCGATATGCTTTGTTCTCTCATGAAACACTGGATTTGCTGCAATTTGCATGGCTGCTTTGCTGTCGCTAAAAATCTTTGCAGGTTGATTATTGTTAACTCCAAGCTCCATTAACAACCCTTGCAACCAAACTAGTTCTGACGTTGCCACTACCATGCTCCTATACTCAGCTTCTGCTGAAGACCCCGCTATAGTTCTTTGTTTTTTTGATTTCCATGAAACTAGTGAATCTCCTAGCTTTACAAAGAAACATGTCACTGATTTTCTTGTCATTGGACATGTTGCCCAATCCGAATCACAACTAGCCACAAGTTGACAACTGCTTGAAGCTTTCAAAATAATTCCCAAACATGGATTATTTTTTATGTACTTTATCACTCTAAGAGCTGCCTCTGTGTGCTCTTTCTTTGGTTGATGCATAAACTGACTAAGATGCTAAACTAAAAAGGCTATATCAGGCCTTGTATGTGTTAAGTAGAGCAGCCTACCAATTAATCTCTAAAATTATGCTTTTCCAGCTAAAGAATCTTCACCTTTGTTTTTTTGCTGCAGAAAACGATCATACTCCACTTGGTAAGCTTAGTGTTATGTTCCAAGGGTGTTGCAATAGGTTTCGCACCCCCTTCATGTATCTTAAATGAGCTCAAGAGCATATTTCCTCTGATTTAACAAAATCCCTTCTTTTCTTCTTAAAACTTCCAAGCCAAGAAAATATTTCAGTTCACCCAAGTCTTTCATCTTGAAGTTCTTATGCAATACCTCTTTTAATTATGAAATCATCTTAGCATCATTCCCTGTGATTAACAGATCATCAACATAAACTAGAAGTACTACAATATGATCCCCTTGTCTCCTAGTAAACATAAAATAGTCATGTTTACTTTGATCTTGAGATAAGAGCTTATGTGAGCTTAGCATTCCATTATTTGAGGCTTGTTTTAAGTCATAGAGAGACTTTTGTAGTCTACACACAACATTTTCCCCCTGACTACAAAAACCTTGAGGCAAGTCCATGTAAACTTCCTCAAGTAGATCACCTGCAAGAAGGCATTGTGAATATCCATTTGCCACATAGGCCAATCAAAGATTGCAGCAAGTGCAAGAACAAACCTAACTGTGGTAAGCTTGGCAACATGAGAAAAAGTATCGACAAAATCAACACTTTCCCTTTGATTATAACCCTTAGCAACCATTCGAGCGTTAAATCTCTCAACTTTAACCTTAAAGACCTATTTGCAACCAACACACTTTTCTTGGAGGCAAAGGAAC